TGGATGGCCCGTCTTCACTAGTTGTGTGAGCCCCAGCATAGCTTCCGTTTTTTCAGAGTTTCGCTGTTCTAGCCATTGTGGTTCCCTATAGTCCCAAGTTCAGCCTGAAGCAAGTCTGCCTTTAGGTCGTTACCATTACAAGCAGTTCCTGCCTTTGTGGATCAGAGGGAGATTTGCCACCATGCGACTATTTTCATACCAGAACGGTGGTGGATTCTGGTATTGGTTTACTCTTAGCTGGGCTTCTTGATGAAAACGTCGAAGTCCTTCTCACCTTGGGAGACCCTGCCGTGGGGACGAATCTCCCGCTGTACATCTCAGCCACGATGAGGTGGCAAACTGTTGGGAGGAATATTATTAATAATTTATTAATGCACACTTTTAACACAAAGTAGAAAACAAAACGACGAACAGGTAATAACTAAATCGCTAAGAGAATGGCATAAGCAATGCTAGCGAAGTGGGATGAAGGAAAGGGGAGAAATTACCGCAAAAAAGGGAGGATAAGTTATTGAAACGGAAGTCGCGACTGAGCAAAACGTAGTTTCGATTTCTCCACAAAACATTCACGATTCTGAAGACCTGCAGAGAACAGAAGTGAGCGATGTTCATTGTTAATCGCTAACCACATTGATAAAATTTGTGATGCTAATGATGATAAAATGAAAGAATGATGGGAATACAAAACGAAAAGAACGATAATGGGAAAACATCAATGAGACAATGGGACATCGCAATTACAATGCAGAGCTACAAAGCACTGAAACCTGTTAGCGTTATTGTCGTGAGAAAAAAAGCGTTAAAGTACAAAATAACAACTAAAAGAGCAAAATGAACAAATGGAGAGCCGGAGCTAACACACTATGATAAAAATATAAAGGATAAAGCGTCCGGAGTGGATCGATTTGTTAGGGATGCGGCATGCACTCGGCTTCATTAGGCAACACAGTGGTGGTTGAATGAATATTTATCTCATACAATTACTTGCTATGGCTTACAGACTTATATTAAGTAGGTATTAGGTAGTTAGGTCGTCACCATTATCTTTCATTTACCCAGACAAGTACGAAACTAATTTACCGATCCTGGAGAGATGTAGACTTTGGTTTGCTCGATGAGTGAGATTGAACCAAAGACCACGTGCATATTGCAGAGCACCTCTAGCCATCTCTTAGAAAATCAGAGTAAAAAAAAACGATGACGTCAGTGATGAAATGATAAGTGTGAAGGGTTCCGATTACGGTAGTTGAGGATGAGTGAGACAACAAATTCCGTACTTAACGAGCAACCGGCTAAATAAAGCAGGTTGCTATGGTGTCAGTGAAATTCGCGATGAAAGACGACGATAATTCAAACATCGTCACTTTTTCCTATCATATAGAATATTCAGAATGGAGTAGTACATTTTAAATTTCGAAGCAAACATGAAAAAACAAAAGAAACGGAAACATAATCCCTACAATGACTTCAAATGAAAGAAAACATTGAAGTTTAACTATAAAGAAAAAATCTTGATGGTGTGAGAAATGGAAAAGGAAACCCTTAAATGATACACTATATAAATAGGGTTTCCCTGCCTACAAAAGCCTGTTTTGATTTAGCGAAGTGGTATACTTCGAATAGAAACTGTTTAGTAAATGTTAATCATAGTGAAAGGAAATCAAATAGATGGCACAAAAAAAGTCTACAGTAATCGGATAGTAAAGAGAATACTTTCATGAATGCTACATGAACACCAAAAATATTTAATAAAGGCATCGAGATGCGATAAAAAGAACAAAAGCAGGAAACAATACGATAGAATACGGTAGCCGATCGATAACCAACTACATAATCTGTTAAATGCTACATTTACAAACCAAATAATTTATTCTAGCTAATCAATTCTGATCCACCCATTCTACTTAGTAATGTATAAGAATAAAAGGGATAACAGCCTATAATGCCATTGATTTGACAACTTACCTGTTTTGCTCCTATTCAAACAACTCTGAAAATTTTTTAATATTAACCAAAATAAGTATTATCAGTATACCGCTTTCGTCAGTGATGTCGCTACGGTATCGTTGACGTTAACAGTTTTCCGCCAAGGGTAACCGTTATTTTGCTAGATGCAATACGAATTGAGCAGCTGACTGATTTGCACTCGGGTACGATTTCTTTATTTGATATTGGAAAGTCGAACGATGCCTTTCTATGAAGACCCACGACATCCTCAGTGCAATTTATACTTTTGCCGCTATGTTTCTGGTTAGACGGGCATTTTCTTCTTGGAATTCTAGGAACTCCATGCCAAGACATCAGCAGATAATCAGTACAGGCATCCATTTATCTTTATGGATCGCAAGAAGGCTTGCCGCTTTGAACCTGCCTCTAAATAAATTTCTCTCTAAATAAAGGCAGTTCTACAAAATTTGTTAACCACTAGATGAACCTCCTGGTGAGAATGTTGAAATACTTTCCAGCTTGGGTTACCCTGGCACAGAACAGAATCTAATGCTGCATTTCATCGCTCTAAGCGCAGGAACATACCTTCACCATGGTGAGGGCTTTTGAAGCCGTGAATACGCACATCTCTTTTTAAATAAAATTAAGGGTCTGTTAATTAAAAATAAAAATACAATGCTTAACGTTTTGTTTTCTGCCTTCTATAATTTTCATGGCAGGTTACTAAGCGAAATACAACCACAACGTTGCTGAGATATTTGCAAAACTCTGGACCGCAGGTGTCTATGGTGGGGAACGAACGCGCTATTATCCTTTCCGGGGAGTAACGCGTTCACCACCACACCATAGACACCTGCGGTCCAGAGTTTTGCAAATATCTCAGCAACGCTGTGGTAATAAAAATACAAAATAAACAGTTGAATAGCGAGCTAACATGATCCGCATCATCATATCTACGTTTCCTCTACGACCATAAAAGCAGTTTGAACTCGCATGATTAGTAACTCTCATTGTAAAAGTTCGAAACAAAAAGTTGTTTCGGGTTCAAGAAACAGCCAAAACTGTACTTTTCTAAGCTTCTGTGATAATTTTTGTGTTCTCCAAAGAATACTGAAGCTAACTGTAACAATTCAAACGAACCACTAAATATGACCGCATTCTCCAACTCAATAGAATAATGCCGCAAGCAACACTTCCATATTTTACTTGCCTTAGCAGAGAAACACGACGTAAATTCAAAATATCATCTCACTAAAAGCGAAAATTTCTCCAAAAAAAGCGAAATGTCGAGATGCATACGACGACGGGACCACCAATAAGTTGAAGTCTCAGAAAATCAAATTCAAGAAAAATTGGTAAAACCAGAAACGGACACGCAATACCGTTAAACAAAGAGTGGAATGATTGAAGTAAAACGCATATATCAGAAGGGTGGGCAGTGACAGTTATGCCGCTCATCAACAAGCATGGTGCTGGTTCGACCTCGCCCAAGGCTCACCTGGCTTCCTGTCGCCTCAAAGTTGACGAATTGATACGCCTTGCCCGTGATAAGCTCCCTTCCCATAATCTACTTAGGAACGCTTTAGCACAGCTATCCCAGTACTACAAGGAGAATTGATCCGATCAACATTCAACGATGTTCACAAGGAAGACAACAATCTTCAAGCGCCAGCCGAATCAAACGTATGCGTTTTCGAAGACTTTTGCCGATGATGGATGCGAGCAAATGAATTGAACGCAAGAAGTGATGGAATCCACACAGCAGATGTGAAGATGAGCCATGAAAAATAATAAATATAATAAGCAAAAACGTCATCCATATCATCTGTCCACCTACTGAGTAATCGTTCCTGGTATATGCCATAATGTTCCACTGTGTTCTACTAGCACGTGCGAGAGACTCAAGCAGCATCATTATTTTTCTTCAAGCGGTTTCATTCGTGGTCTGATTTCCTGTTCGATTACTTTTTCCATTTTGCACTTGGTCTGTGGAACACACACACTAACGACTTTTGCATAGCGGTTGTTGTTAAGACACATTGCAGACCTGGGCCAACTGATTCCCGACATTTTGGTGTATGCTACGGTGTCCCTGATCTTTATTCACCGACGCATGGCGAAAATCCAGAACCCCCTTCAATTGCGTAATACGAAATACTGCTACAGTAGACAGCACTACTGGTTGTGGAATCGATTGTGATGGCCGATTTTTCATCTTCTTTGCATAAAATCCATGTTTTAGAAGCACACGTTAGCCAAGAAGCCATAGTTGCAAAACGGTGAGAGCGGAACTGGTTCCTCTTCGCTTCTTCATTACATCTTCAATGATGAAGAAAACCAAAACAGCTTATTTACTTGTGCTTTGTCGTAGAGTCAAATCGCTCATCGTGTTGAATTCCTCCTTCGATCTACCTACGTGAAGCTTTCAGAGAGATTCACGAAGTTGAATACGAATGTGACATTGGAAAGAAATTCTCTCTACTTTTTTTCGACTGCTATACTTCACTGGATTCGACTCTGTACGGCAACGAACATCCACACTGCGAGGATGACGATTGTGGAACATCGACTCGAATTAAACCGGCTCTAAAGAAGACGAAGATGCCGAGAACTTCGCCGAATCGATCTCCTTATCAGGCTCGTGTTTGCATAATATTCGAAGAAGCGACTAAACCCGTCTCAGTTTTCGTTAGGTTCAAAGATAAAACGACTCTTGAAATTACTCAAAATCCGTCTTAGCCAACTGATGATAGAAGTTGTACAGACCATTTCATCAGCAAAGTGAAGCTAGTGTATCCGCGTGACATCTACTTCTACTCATATATTGACCTGACACTTGATACTTGAACGGCTCGTCCTCAGTGGTTGTGCTGGCCCCAGAATCAACTGTATCACCTGTAGTCCCGTTGGGCGTCGAGTGACTCAAGCTGGCGCCAGTAAATCTTCCATTTTTCCCTGACGCGTGCAAGAGTAGCCCAGTGAGTTCTGTTCGCTCTAGGGACTCGTTGAGCATCATATCTTTCTTCCAGGCTTTTCATGAAGAACTCTGGCCATCAGGTCGGTGGTCTTCCTGCAGTACGTTTCACATCCCGAGAAATCCAGTCACTAACGGCTCCTGCCCATCGGTTCTTATTCATACGCATTACCTGTCCGGTCCACTTTATCTTCCACTGCCTGGCGTACAGAATGGCATCTTTGATCTTTGATCGTTGACGCAGATCGGAGCTTCGGATTGCATCCATTACTTGTGTCGAAAGGGATACTCCAAGCATTGTCCTTTCGACTGCGCGTTCGATAACGCTGAGTGACCATTCATCCTGCTTACGCAGCGACCAGGTTTCTGACGCATACGTTAGGGCAGGAAGTACCGTTGAGTCGAAAAGGTGGGCACGGAGTCGAGTGTTCTTTGTCCTCTTCACTGCATCCCCGATGCTCTTGAAAGCTCTCCAAACCGCTCGTTTTCTTCTGCTCAGTTCTGAAGCTAGGTCGTTCATTATATTGATTTCCCGACTTAGATAGATATAACTGGAGCATTCGGAGACATTCGTTCCGTTGAGCTCGAATGGGGCATGCGAAACCTCACCTCACCTAACTCCTCTGTTGACGTCAATGTTAACATCGTGGTAGCATGGTGATACCTTGCTTGTGAAATTTTTGTACAGCTCACGAAGAATCTTTATGCACTGAGTAGGGACTCCCTGACTATCAAGGGCTTCCATGACTGCTTCTATCTCAGTTGAATCAAAGACCTTCTGTAAATCGATGAAAGTGAGACATTGAGGTCTTTTGTACTCTCGCGATACATCAATGAGCTGTGTTACCGTGTAGATGTGGTCTATCGTACTAAATCCTTCTCGAAACCCTGCTTGCTCACATGGCCGTCCTTCGCCCAATGTTCTGTCAATCCTCTTTCGGTTGAATCGAGTGAAAGGTTTGTAGACGACAGACAGTATACATTAGCCGATAGTTGCCAATATCGTGTACGTCACCCTTCGTGAACAATAACGCGGTCTTGCTGGTCTTCCACTCACTAGGGACCTCGCATTCAGACAGGTAACGTATGAAGAGCCGAGCCAGTGTATTTATGAAGACTGGCGGAAGGTTCTTCAGGTGTTCTGGTCTTATCCCGTCCCCACCTGGTGCTGCTCGACTTTTCACCGACGAAATGGCATGTCGGATTTCGGAAGGGAGAACCCGTGGTACGACATATCCATTCACCTCTATTTCATATGGGAGAAGAACGTGAATATCGCAGAGATCCGAGTAGTATTCGTGAATGATTTTCTCCATCACCTTTCTGGACGCTATAACTGTTCTGTCTGGGCGTCGGAGTGCAATCATCTTGGTCATGTAATTGGCGAAGCATCGTTGGCTTTGCGAATGCTTTTCCCAGCCTCCGCAGCTTCGCCCATTACTGCTGCTCTTCTCTCTCTAAGATCTCCTTTTATCGCCTCCCCGCATTGTTTTGCAAGTTCAGACGTTAGTTCGCGGTTGCCTGGAGCTTGTGCGATTACACACTGGCGTATCAGCCGGAGTGTTTCTGGAGACAAGCGTCTCTTGGTGACTTTCGAACTCTCAGCTTTCATAGCGCTAACGCGAAGATGTTGAATAAGCCGATCGTGTTCTACGTCGATGTTATCGATAAAACCATCTTCCCAACAGCTGAATAATGAATTAAATAAGTCCTAGTTTACGGTGGTTCTCGGACTTCGGCTTTAGAATTTTGCGGCTTTTTCTACTTTCGGCGAAAAATAGAACCTTCACGAAGGAGACGATGGTGTGATCCCGTGTAGAGTTTTGGGACAACAGCGACAACGGTTAGGCAAAACCTTCTATTTACTATGATGTGGTCTATTTCGTTATGGTACTTTTCACTTAAAGACTGCCACGTCCAGCGCTGAGGGTGGGTCTTCTGGAATTGCGAGTTACCATGGATTGTCTTGGTCGCCATGATAAACTCAGCCGCTCACTCTGTTCGTTCCATTCTAATTCGTGGGTCCCAATGTGACGTTCTTCAGACCTTCTTCTCGGTCTAATCTTGGCGTTGAAATCTCTAGTGGTGACCTTGAAGAATGTGTGGTCTTCTCTGTGGAACTTCTCCAAGTCCATATAGAACGCTTCGACTTCTTCGTCACAGGTTGATGTCAGCGGGTAAGCGACGAAGATTGACAAGTCGAAATTGATCCACGCCTTTTTAATCGTAAACGTCCGATTCAGGTTGTAAGTTGTTCGAATGAATCAATGTTCATGGACAAACTCGTGTTGACGAGAACGCTGACGCCGCCGATTCCTCTACTATCGCATGTTCCGAGGAACAGTTCTTCTGCAGTTGTCATAGACGGTGCTGAAAGGCTGGCGTCTTCTCATCTCGGCCACGCTGATGACGTCGTACCCTATACTCCTTGCTTGCATGAGCAAGTCTTCTATCGAGGACTCGGATGCAAGTGTACATACATTGTAGGTACAGATCGTCACCGTAGTTCTTTGAGATCCAGGCAGCTTCCATTGACCCTGAGATTTTAGCATTTCTCCGTACTCATCCTATCCAACGCTGCGAAATTGGGAGCTCTTTCGCGGTCAGGGAATGAGGCCCGTTCTTTTTTTTTACTGTGTTTAGCAATTTTGATACCCACGTAAAGCTTGTTGTGCTCTGAACGTGGGGACTGGGTATACTCACGGGCAGCTTACCAGGCTCTCCCAGAGTGGACATGGAGCTTATTTGTTAGAGGCGAGTCCTAACCGCCTCCCATATACTTCCTAGTCACTTGATTGCAGGCTTTTAGTCGAATTGGCTCGTATAATACGATTCGCATAAGCAAGAACGCACTCATACACGCATGCATGAATATGCCTAGCAAATACAGAAAGTATTTGCCAAATCAGCGCATCAGAAACAGGGAGCCCATCCGCTGGATCCACATGCGTCTCAGGGAAGCAAAGGTCGCTTTTGGTCCGCGATTAACCCCCTATCCGCCACCTGGGAACCCACCACGTAGCCTCGCGACTAACCAGCTCGAGATTCCTCATATGAGGGAGATCCGTGGTTAGTATATGTCCAGTAATGAACTCTCGTCCTCACTGGTTGTGCCAGCCCCAGCATGATCACCATTTATCGGAGATTTGCTGGTTAAGCCATTGTGGTTCCCTGGAATCTCGAAATCAGTTTGGCCAAATTCTGCCCAGGTCTTCACCACCACGGGCAGTCGGAGCCCTTGTGGCTCAGAGGGGTATTTGTCACCATGCGACTTTGATACCAGGACGGTGGAGGGCCTTGGTATTAGTTTACACCTAGCTGGGCTACCTGATGAAAATTCCGGACTCTTTCTCAGATTGGAAGACACTACCAGGCAGACGAAGTCCCTCGCTGACATCGCAGTCCGACACCCAGGAACACCTAGCCACGATGAGGCGGTGAACCGCTGGACGGACTCATATTCTTCGATTTCAATTTTAGCAAGGCAGTCAAACGTTGCGCCAATAGCGAAGTTCTCGTTGCGAAGTTGCTCAAAAGTACTTTTGTGAGTAAATGGCGTCCCGTTGCCAAAATTCCTGTGCAGCTTCTGTTTCAACTGTGTGAAAAGATGTTTGCCACCGCGGACACCAGCGGTCCAGAGTTTTGCAATTATCTCAGCATCGTTACGTTTATATTTCACATAATACTCTGTCAGTAAAAAAAATAAAGAAAAAACAGTAAATAAAAAGTGACTACGTTGTATAGAAAGCCTTCTTTAAGACGACAAAGTGCACTATGATGTACTATAGAGGTGTAATGACGTGCCTGTCGGTGAGACTAAGGTAGAAGGCGCCGATAGCTGTTCAGTTATCCCTCTTAGAGGAATTGGCAAAAATGTTATTACATCACTTTACTAATCCAACTTTCGCTTAACCTCGACTTGAATAATCATTTGTTTATTCAGATTATTCAGCATAGACGAGGCTGTCGTATAATTTTATACGACCATTATTCCGACGTCTTCGTCTTCATCATAGCGGATGATCCGAATTTATGAACCACATTCGTTCGTTGTCGCGTTATGGAGTCTTCGTTGTGGTATCGATTCGAATCTTCTTCAATAGAACATCGACCGATTCGACTCGGTAGCACTACGAGGACATCACAACGTGAGGAAGGACGACTGTGGACCAACGGCTTGAATCATTGGTTCATGAAGATGTCGTCATGGTTTTTCCATTCAAAGCCGCTGATTTTGATGAGACTTCCTCACAATCTCATGGAGTTCACCCATGACGTTGTTGCCACCAGTGATGAACGGCGCAGGCGATGTGATATTCTCCGTAAAATTCCCAGTCTATGAAAAATGCATTGACTCTAATCCATCGTAGAACTATGTCAATGTGTAAAGAGCGAAAGTTTTCAAAAACAACAGCAAACGTCTTTTCCACCATGAACAACAAGTGAGACGATCCAAATTGACACTTGTTCAATGAAATCGATGTTCAAGACCAAGCTCGTTTTGGTGAAGCTTCCAATTACGCCTTTTTTTGAACTCCCATGCCCTAGCGAATAGTCCATTATTAGTACCATAATGGCAGATGTCTTCTGATGTTTGTCAGCCAAATGCTGTTGAACTTAAGCGATTCAGATGGCCTCATCAGGCATCCAATGGAAAGTTCAAATCAATGCGAGCGTTCACTGCAAACACCGAAAGTCATCCCAGTAATTCTTGACTTTAGCAACTTTTGAATGCCATGAGATTTAAACAGGTTTTCCACATTCGTCTTATCTAAATCTGTCATAAATGAGTTCACTTATTTTCAAAAGAATGAAGTGCTCTGTCTTCATCGTGTTTGACTAAAGAAATCCTGAGAAAGCTAACCTTATTTTTCAGTCATCAGAATCCAAGTTTTTACAAACAGCCATATCGATCTGCAAGATACAACCCTCATATATTCATACAATCAGGCATATATTCACGAATGCAATTACTTCCAAACGGATGATATAAACCAATTTGACGAAGTAAAGAAAAACAAACACCTCGTCCTCAGGAACCAGCTGCGCCTCAGGGGAAATTCATCGTTTTTGGTGTTCTGTAAGCTCCATGTGCGATCGAACATCAAAACATGCGTGGAAGCTCAAGATCGAGAATTTTCTTGGTAATATAAATTGATTACTAGTTCCAAGGTTAATCGAAAGACGGTTTTTCGAATTACTACGAAAGGCAGAACTACTCAAGACAAAAAGGAGAAAGAAACCAGGAAATGAAGGTAAAAAGTCTACTGCAGCCGGAGTTATCCACTTGCCATGTGTTCTGTTGAAGAAATCGATTTTACTTTCCCGAAGTCCACTATCATCAAGTGTGAGTCCAACTGTCACTCTGCTTAAAGCTTAGTCTAGAAAGGATTATTATAAATTAAAACTAAATAAAGGCCACAAAACTAAATTGGGTTTCGAGGACAAATTTAACTGGCTAACAACTACACAACATCACCAATCAGAAAGAGTGTTTTCATGAAAAACGATTACCAGAAC